AGTCAACCTGTCGCGTCACACTTTGTCGCGCGATCCTTCGCGCTTTTCTTTAAATAGGATTTTATTCTCCCTTTCTCGCGAATTTAATAGTCATAGTTCTCTCTGGCTGCCAAGTCCCGTCACTCCATCCATCCGTCTCGCCATTACTTTAAAATTATCTCCGTACCGTGCAAGATAACGGTAAGAGCATTCACAAGATACGTTTGGAGAGAGAGAAAGTTGAAAACTTTTCCAACCTTTCGTGTAACTTTTCGTTATCAAGGGACGTAAAGGCGACAGGCTGCTGCGCGCGCGTTAATTTCGTGCCGCCCTATATTTGAACGACAATTCCGGTATACTTGCCTGAAAGTACCTCTCTCGCGCCTTTCCTACTCCTAGCCAAGTCTCAGCGCGCTCTTGCCACTCGTGGAACTTCATTTCTCCTTATCGTACAAGCTCAGTATCCGACTGATGTCGCGCGTCTGGAAGCGTTATACACTCGGCGAAAGTATCCGTGCGATCGCGACGACGATGAATGATCGACTGACTACTACCTGTCGCTGCGCGCTTGTCGCGGATGACTCACGTGCGTAAAGAATCTCCGGTGCGCGTAAGACGCGACGTATGTATGAATGAAAATAACACGCGTTGCCACGGCAACGAGGTAGGAGACAGAGATAGAGAAAGAGAGAGGCGTGGGTGTTCGAGGAAGCATGCTTTTATGAATGAATCGACGACAATACCACGCGGATAACGCGTCTCAAAACGGTACCCTCAGTTTATAAACGCGCCGACCGTTCCAGAAAGGATTTAACACCTTGTTGGTCACAAAGGGACTGATCAAAGCGATGTCCCTCGCAATCTGTATTGACCCCACAACAAAGGCCGCCGACGCCGACGAGAATCCGCGCCCACATTAATCGCGCGACGTAAAAATAGCCGCGTTCAATGGCTCGTCTTATCCTTGAAAAATTTAATTCTGTCGGAAACAGTCGAATAAATTTATGGTACAATTTCGTCGCGTGAAAATAAAATTGATTATCATCGCACATCGAATGACGAGAAAAAAGTCGATTGATTGTAAAACACATGCAGATTGACCATAATTATTTTATATATACTTAGCGAGAAGACTTCTCTGCGATGTCTTATCGTAACGATTATTATTATTAAATCCACGTCGCGTGTAAATGCACTATCATTATTGCCTGACATTATTGCGTGTGTATGCGTCGTTACGTGCGTTTCGCGCGACGAATACGCGAGATATACTCCGGTACTTTTTGTGCGTGCGGAAAAAGTTGCGCAGTCGAAGGTCTCGTCTGCGAAAAAATTCTCGCGGTGGAAAAACGCCGCGAAAGTGTGACGACCTGCTGCCTACAAACGTATGTACGCGTCGAGTGAGTTTAAACATGTAAGTAAACATGTTTTAGCGACGGCTCGAGAGATTTGCAAAGGTTTTCAAAACGAGATGAGCCGCGCGAGACCACCAGAGAAGAAAGAATCTAGAGTCTTTCTCCCCGCAAATTCGATATTGCTATTGCGATTATTCTGCATATAGACAAACATACACATATACGCAGCCAATAATCGAGGATCGCGTCGATTCTCAGGGGTTCTCCCGCTTCTCTCTTTCTTATCAACGTGTTTTAACGTCTTTGTATAAATTCACTTAAAAGTCAGTTTGGGTGAAGTTGAATGTTAATTAGTATCGTGAAATCTCCATTATACGCGAAGAGAAGGAGAAATAACTCTTTCATTTATTTGATTTATTTAGGGGGTTAAATCACAAAAGCGGCCCGAATGCCATCCACGCGCGCTAAACAGAGACGGGCGAACGAACACTGTCGAAATGCACGAGCGGAACTCAGTTTAATTCGATGATATGATTGTAACCAAACGCAAGCCGCTTTCATTTGCGAACGATTAATTTTGCATCCGTGCGCGCACCCCACGCGTATCAAATTCGCGAATCGTTGCACCCACGTTCACCATCATCAACATCGCGTATATATCGGTGGTAATGCAACGAGATTTGCGGACTTCGTCCTATTATGTGCGAAAGCTGTTCGTAATTCATCGTCGATACGTTCCGACACAACGGCCTTGTTATCAACAACGGCCACTTTTAAGCCGTTAACCCCGTGTCGAGGGTTTATCTCGCTCACTCTCGGAGTAAATGGCCAATTTTTTTTTTTTTTTTCCTTTCCGCTTTAACGATTTGCGCGGAAAACAAGCACTATATTATGCATGTCGCAAAAATGAACAAGGCAAGAAAATGCGATTCGTCATCGACCTTGGATTCGTCGCGGCGTGAACGCTCTCTCTTCTTTCTTTCGCGCGGAAACATGTGGAAAATAATGGAGAAACCATAGAATAGCGACAATAAACAAGCGGGCACGTGAAGTCGGTGCATCGCGTGTCAGTCTCAGCTTGTAAATTCTATTACGCGTCAAGGCATTCTGTATAATCTCATTGAACGCATACATACATCTGTCTAATCAACGTGAATTCGCAGTTAGAAGATTTATACGAGCGAACGGCGAGTGCGCGCGCGGTCTGCTATTCAGTATGCGGCTTATGTTAGTTGTAAAACGCACCACGCTCTCGTTAAGTCGTTGACGAGCGTGCGCGAACGTGAGGAAAAATCGCAACGATAATCCCGGAAGAGAGGCAATCAAAGTAGAATAAAATTCGCAATAATTTTTCCGCGTTACGCGAGTTTTAGATAATAGAATCATATACTTCCGAGCTACATTTTTATCCTTGTCCGATTGATTGACGAAATATTAATTTCCGATATTTTATCTGTTTCAAACATTGATCGAAATAATCTATATTAATAATATATATTAATTCATTGTCGGTTCTTGCTCGTCTTGCATCTCGCGAGTTCCACGAGACATAACGATTATACTCCCTTTCAGCTTAAGTCGGACTCTTTGTCTGCCCGAGTAATTAATTTGCATTCGCAAGATTAACAAAATCGCGAAATTATTCCCGGCGACCTGTTTCCATACTCCAGGTGTAGAGTGCCCGGGGATCCAGAGCGCCATTAACTCTCGTTAATTAATGATGTTAAGATAACGCGATGATGATAACGAGTACTACTATTCTCGCATACTCTACTCACGTTGCATACATTGATCACTGATCCATTATCGAAATATTTGACAGCACCGCGTGATTAGCTCGACCTACTAATATATGGGACAAAAAAGCAACTCTAATGACCACGCCTTTTAAGAATGACAACAGTGTATTTTTCATATTATCACTCTTTGTTCTAATTCCGAATCATCTCATCTAGCCTAGATCTGCGAAAGTGGCGCGCGTTGTATTTTAAACGAAATCAACGACACGCACCATTACCTGCGTAATTGAAGAGATTTGCCCGCACATCGTTGTTCAACAGTCGCGACAATTAGAGATGGAGAAAGTAAGGAAGCGAGTGTGTTGATGAGTCATCGCCGGGGCCTCTAACGAGACACCTTCAGCGAAATGGTTTTAATGAGACGTCGCTGGCCGCTATCTCGGCGCTTAAGCACAACTGAATAAACACGGCTCCGAAGCATATTTACGGACTTGTCGATCGGTGCCCTTGGAAAATTTCGAGATACTCGAATGCTCGCGGTCAAAAGATAACGCTTCATCTTCCCTCATACGGGGAAAGTCCATCTCGCGATTTAATCGCGCACACACGCCGGAATTCACATTCGCATTCGCGCGCGGGAGATTTTCGCGGAAATTCTGTGCGATTGCAAACTGTACGATCGGCTGGTTGTTTTGCCAATTCTTCGAGAGACTCGATGAAATCAACAAAATTAATGTGCGATGTTTTATTCGAAGGAATGCTAATAATAAGTGCAACGGGGTTAAAACTTTTGGTACAGCATATCCGCCCGACAAAATTGACCGTGGATTTTTCTGACCTACTTGCTTACATAATTGATAGAGGCGAGTCTCTTTTGATACACCAGCTTCGAACACGCCCTAAGGACACGGCTTTTTGCACTTTCGCTTGATAAATTTTAATGCACCGCGGGAATCGCGTTTCTCGGTCGAGCATTCCCTGCCCTCATTTCTATCTCGCGACTGTCTGTCGTATTTCGTGCTCTTTAATATTGTAGATATTTTCACGAATTTATATATATTCGTCTTATTTTTCTATACATTTTATTTAGACAATAATTTTTCGCTCTTTTACTTTTCGATCATAATTTCTTATTCGCTATTAGATTTCTATAACCTTATTTGTATTGAAAATTGAAGTTGGATTACTTTAGAGAGTTTAATTTCGTCCCCGCAGAGTAAGAAGTTTTACGGTCGTTGAACATTTAGAAAAGTAATCAATGTGCAAAGGGAACGAGCGATGGAGCGCGAAAGTAAAACTCGTTGATTATTTTCTCGGGAGGGGAGAAAGAGGGGTACTGGATAATTTCAAAACCGCTTTTTACTCTTTAACGCAGGTGTATAACCCCCGCGACAGCGATCTCCAAGGGAGCCGAAGAATTCTCGAAGGATGCTTATTAGTAAAAGCGCACACACTTTGCGACGAACGATTTCTCTCCCGCGCAATAAACCCAGATAACACAACAAGATTTACATGTTTCATCAAGTTATAACGTACGTGCATCAGTATCGACAATCGGTTTCTCCTCGTGCATATTTAAGCGCTGCCAGCAACATATACATATATATCTCACCTCGTCGGTCTCCAACCATGTCAAACTCAAATAATAATAAAAATAATAAAATGCATCGTACAAAAATATTCGCGGTACGCGTTTCCGGATATTCGATGGCGAACGCGAGTTGTCTTCCACTGCGTTATTAAATGGCCCTTCCTGTTCGACGTAACATGCGACTTGCATGTTAATCGAACGGATATGTTAACGTCGTTTCGATCGACTAGTCTCGCCACGTGGGTGGAACACGACTTTGCGGCTCTCAGTGCGGATTTCTCCGCGAATCCTCGCTCAATTCTACAAGATTTCTAACAACAACGTAAATTAACTCACCCTTCCCTTCTCTTGTGTCTCGTGTTCTTTGGACCGCCTACTCACCTGCAAGTCACAATAAACGAGGATTAGAATTACATTACGTAAATTTTTAATACACATGTATTATTCTAATAAATATCTTTTCTCAAATGGCATTAGAATCAAAATTAAAGCAGCGGGGAATAAAACGGAAAGTTTGGATCCCGCGAGCAGAGTTTCTTATCGGATTTCGATTGACATGTGTGAGCACATGTGTCAAGCAGTGCACGTTTTTAAGATCGCTTTCGCGTCGGAGACATCGGACGAGCGATTCTAACGAAGGATCGTGCTAATAAAGACGCCAATAAAACGCAACAACTGACAAATTGCATCAACGTGTCAGTGCACTCTGCGGCGTGCTGATAAAGTCTATTAGGCTTTTGTGACCATCCGTCGCTCTTTGTCGCCCTGTTACGGGGAATTAGTCACCTCACCAACTTCGCGATACGAAAGCAATACAAGGTGAAACCAACAGAACCTTAGCGATCGATATTTATCTGCTCTTCAAGAGAACAATAACAACTCTATTTGATCACGCGAACATAATGCATGCATCCACGAGGGATATTCTTTCCTCTCTTTTTCTTCCTTTATGTCCCTTTTCAAACTGCATATTTTTCAAGCAATTAACCAGGTAAATTCGAAATGAAGTGCTAAGTATAAATGTATCTTTACTATGCTTTAAACACGTACTTTCACCAAACGTCCTACTGTGCGAAGACATTAATATCCAGATAATTATCAAACTCTGCTTTTAACACATGTGTTACATTTTATCTCTAAAACGAATTGTGTAAAGAAGGCATATTACAGAACAGATTAATTAAATATATGCGAGCCACTTCCACTTTTAATTGGCGATAAAACTCGGTGTCCGCTAAAAATGTTTATGTTGGTGAAAACGATGGGTCAAACCAGAACGATGTCGTGTGAAACTTTCAAGAACTTTCTGTGCGAGGGGCCACGTTGCCTGCGAAATTCTTCGAAAAATTCGCATCGGTTCGTCTTGCGAAACCGATAGGGAAACTATTCGACCCACTAACCACCTGATGAATCGTCTTGTTGCAATTTTAGCGATTTGCGAATGCGACAACAGTGTCATATGACGCAACCGAGTTACATGCGGAAACGTCAGCAGACAATATTAAATCGCGCTACTGACATCGATAATATCGCCGACTAATAAACTTCTCGAATGAATTTCTTACTCAACGAAAAAGCGCACGCGTGACATCAGCGGGTGACATCTTGGTATCTTATCGGTAAAGGTGGTTTGCGGTTTCTCGTGCGAGTTGTCGAGGCAATCAGCAAATATATATATATATTTCTATATATTATGCCCACGATAAAACGAATGATAATATTCAAAGCGTCAGATGAAGATGGAGATGTTATTTTCGGCATTTAATATAAAATAAAAATAAATAAAATTTCAATACTCTTATTTTCTCATTTATTTTCATTCTTCCAAAGCTCAGACATATCAGACACGCGCGGTTCTTTATCTCGGGCGCATCCTTGAAGAGTGACAGATCACAAATGTTTCTCCTTGAAGTCGAAGCATCGAGGGGATTCCAAGATCCCGATAACGTCGGGGAAAAAAATTCCAAATTTTTTTAACGATACCGCGTGCCGCTAAACATTTCAGAGAACTCTAATTATCATGGCAAGTGCGATAAAAAAAAAAAGACAAGTGATAAATGACACGATAAACTCGACCGCCACGGTAGATGTATCGCTCATGCGGCTGCTGCGATGCAACGCGGAATCCGCATAATGCTACTCTTTCATACACGATATCTAAAAGGTCGTCGGATTTCGCGAGCGGTCCATTATCAGACGCACGATAAGGATACGCGTGTAATTATCGATAAATGTTGAGGCCGTCATCCTTGTAATTTAGATCCAAGGCGAAGCATTATATTTTCTACTTTTCCCCGATTATAATAAAGCTTCGGGAGATCAAAAATAAAAAAAAAAAATTACATTCCGGGACATTTGAGCGACGCGTGAAACACGTTTTATGAAAAAAAAAATTATGCACAGTTATCTGTCAGTTGATGCAATCTTAAACCCTAATCTCGCGATACGCTTAAAATTCACTCCCATTCTGAACGCTCGTCGCAACAATAAAACATCGTGCTTTAAGATCTCACCGTGGAGAACTTGATGTTCAGGAAGTCGTAGTACTTGACCAGGAACTTCATTATATTTCAACAATCAGCCGGAAGAGATCCTCTCTTAACATATACAGCAATATCGTGGCTGATTATCGTCTATCAAGCTCTGCGAATATATTGAGGATCGATAATACAAGCCGTAAATGTACGAACGACCGGCGTGTGTGAGAAAACGTATTGCACTAAACCGCCGAGAGACGTAAAAGTGTCGGGGGACCTCACGATAAACTCAGTCTATTATCAATATAACGACTTGTCGACCATCCTCGTTCTCGGCAAGTTGCGATGCAAGCCGTAAATTACAACGATCAAATTATTTGCAACGTTTCTGAAAAGAGATGCACAAATCGATCTTTCGTTCTTTTATCTAACGGAAGAAAGACGCGATTCATCGCTGATTACACCGGTAATCCGAGATTAATTAAGCGTTCCAGTGATGTAAGTAGATCTTCCGCTGTTGATTAATAGTTTTCGATTTTTGAAAACGTGATCTCGACATACGATGTAGACTCAATTGCGGGATTTTGCCGTGGTTCAGAAGAAATATTGAGTATAACTCTCGCGGATGAAAAAGCGTGTAACGTTACGCAATCGCGTTAACGATAATTGGGTCGAAGCGCGTTTACGCGCCTCGACTAACGAGAGGAACTGACGATGCATCGCGTACACGCGTCGGAAACGAACGTACACGTGTTACTGCTGCCCGTTTCGAAACGCCACTTTCTAATGCACCGTGAAATGCAGTGCGCGGACTGCATTGTAGGAATGCGCAGCACGTTGTTAATATGTTTTATAGCGTGGGATATATTGCGTGAGATTTTTTTGTCATCGCGCGAGTTATTAAATTTTTTTGGCGAAAAAAAACGTGCGAAAAATCACGAAAGCTCCGCAAAGTTTATTGAACATCCTTCGTAATGTAATTATTATTCTTAACTAGCAATTTAATCTCGTTTTATCAGCCGCGTGAATTGATTTACACGGTACACAACGCTTTATATATGTTTATCTCCATCGTTAACGGTATCGCATCAACTGCGATCTTGAATGCGCTATCGGAAAAAAGAAACTAGAACGACAATGCGCCCTCGATTGTTCGACGATTCGCAACGTGTGCACACGCGTGTCCAAAGATCGACCCACTTTTTGCCCGAGGTGGAGGAATATGATCGATCGAGCCCTCGGGAATGCGTATTTATTCACGCAATGTCAATTAATGCCGAGATCGTCGCGCCGGCGTGGATTACCATAACGGTGACCCGCTTTATCAAGGGCCAAATCGATCCGGCGTTTAATTACGCGAGACTGCACAAATTGGCGTCTCGCGGAACAACTATCTCCCTCTCGCTGCTCGATCAGATCAGCTGATCGATCCCAGCGAGTCGCGCACTCCGCGTTACGCAACCTGGTCTTCGTCGCATTTGAAGTTCGTGTAAAACGGGAAATGCGCGCACGCACTCGCGCACACACGCATTCTGGTGCGTGCCTACCACGCGTTTACGCAATCGCAGCCGCGGTCTTCTTCTCTTCGTCGACGCAGCGTGACCAGCCGCGTTTATTTGCGGTAAATCGCGAGATTATGTGCACTTTTCCCTTTCGTCGACCGATAAAAGCGAGCTCTTTCTCCCTTACTTTAAATTAAAATAGAAACATTCGACTAAACACGGAGTCTTCCGGTAATAATTGCCTGGTCTCAATCGCAATGATATTCATTTAGAGTCGAAAAAAATATCGAGGAATGTAACGAACGTCACGAAGAATTCGCGCGTGATGTATCAATAATTTATATTAGATTTTTCGGAATAATTTTTTCTGATCGGAAAGCAACAGATGAAATTAATATTAACAGAATTTATAAAGCAATTTCTCATTTGAATATCAGTACCTGAGAAAATATCGCGTATATCATGAGAGTGTCGCGAATTACACCGACTTATTTTTGTCCGCTAAAAAATACCACGGAACTCTCGATAATAAACTATCTTTTTCCGATAGACACATTACCAGTTTCTCTAGTAAGCCACGGGCCAGTTCAAGAACGTAGTACACCAACAATACCAAAAATTTACTCGATCGTCCACCGGTAATCACGACATTCGCTAGCGCGTCATCTTAGAAACGATTTCGCAGACACGTGACCAAATCAATACAAAGAAAAATAGATAAGTGAGAATTTAGTATTTAGACGAGTACAAACGAGCCTTGAAGTATTGATGTTTGTGCGATAAAATACTTAAAGCGCACCACTCCCCGTAATAATATTGTACAATTTCGCTGCCAGCAGCGAAATTAGTTTCGACTCACTCGGATTCTCCTTATTGTCAGTCAAACGTCGATCATTGATTGAATGAAATTATAGGTTTAATCTGAAATTGTTATTACAGATAATAGTATACTTTAATAGAGTATATTTTATCGCACGAACTTCAGTATTTCAAAATTCGTACCACGCCTAGCAAGCTCGCGAGCACTCATCCAATCGGGAATTATGCCGAACAACGTCAACGCGAAATTTAACACACCGGGAGAGAAAAACGCGCGCGCGTAAAATCGCCGTATTTGCGATTTCCGCGTCTGAAAGGCGCGGTCTTAGAAACGACCTGATCGCAGAAACCACCTAACGGACATGGTCGCACGCGACTAAGGGCGACGGAGGTTACATAACGTGTGCAAATGCGCAAGCCAAGCGCGAGGCCCATGCCGTGTCGCGATGTAGGCCTCAGCGACGTGCCAGAAACGAAAATACTCTCGGCGAAGAAGCAGACGAACGGCGAGAAATCGCGGGCGTTCCTCTTCCCGCTGCCGAAAACGGGGCTGCCGTCGACGATCTCGGTTCAGGTCGATGCC